AGCATTACACTTTGTGGTCTTGTGCCTGAAATCCCTTAGGAGGTGAGGTCCTTCTTTCTGGGCTATAATTTTATCAGAATAACAGGGAACACAGTACCTTTTCATAGCTGGGAATAAACAATTAGACTTCAACCTAATTAACATTGACAACTTTCTCTAGCTATGCAGTTTATAATCATCTTAGAAGCAAGCTGCTCAGCACTTCCTAGAAGAATACTCTTAGGTGAGGTAGTTGGTTGTAAGTATTTTCTGAAATAAAAGTTGGCATACCACTTCATGGTCTTGAACCTTGGACCAGGATTTGTCTTCCTTCGTTTCTAAGTCTCGGTGTTTACTGGATTGCAAGATCTAGCTTTCAAATTTGGTTAACGTTTCGGTGTGCAGTAACTTTACAAAAGATGTTTAAAATCTCAAGGTAAGCGTTGATGTGCTTTTTGAACAACTGTTAACATTACTTTCCTTGTTAGGAAGAAGCAGCATATCTGTTCTTCCCACATTAAATAAGGAGAGTGGATGGTAGCAGTTCTTCCTGATACAATCTGAACAGGGAGCCTCTGAACCTAGCAGGACACCGCATCATGTGTATTTTTAAAAGCTTAATGCACCATGAGATTTCTTAACCGAAATGAATAATGGTAAACAAAACCAAACCTCTCAGTGGTTTAGAATTGAATACTACTCCTATTTGTCTCCTTTAAATGGAAAAATAAACACTTAAGGTATTAAGAGTTACCACTATTAATTTACTGCAGACTCACTAGTTAAAAAACAACAGATTACACACTGTAATTTTCCGATAAACACATCTAAACCTAGACAGGGGACATGAGACTTCTGATAAACTGTTCTGTATAATGAAATGAGTTAATGGCTCTATTTGTTTTTAACCCTGTCCTATCACTTCACAGTGTAAATGAAGCCTTTGAAGGGCTGATTTTTGCTTTAGCATTTGAATGAAATTAAAGTGAAAAAGACTTGTAAGTATGTGTAATGGAAAAAACACACAACAACAAAGCTTTATTAGAATGGTCAAATACTATTTCTTAATTCCTGTAGAGTATCACCGGAGGAAACTGGAATATGTAGAAAACAAAACCAAGAAACTTCAGTCTGTCTCCAACCTACCTCACTTTGTATCAAAATAACCTTCAGGAAAGATTTTATACAGCAGTATTGCATATATTGCAGAAAAAAATGTAGTCTCATTGCAGAATATAAGAAACAGTTTTCAATTAATTCTACAATGTAACTTACTGAAAGAGCTAAAGGGAAACATAAGGTATTCAATTTAGAATTCTGTCCAGAAACCACTGACTCTCTATCCTGTTTTCCTTTAAAGAAGTAAACACATTTTTACATGCAAAATAAAAAGTTGTCTGCTTATGAGGTAGTTTGTTCCTCTTGCTACTGTGTTCCTCCTGAAATCCAGATGCATCATCACATTATTTTTTTTCAAAAATAGTTCCAATCTAATATTTCTATCTAATTGCAATTTATGCATTTTTCTTCATTGCATGAATTAAGGGGAAAACATCTTCCATATTTACTTTTTCCCCTCAAACTACCTTCTCCAGAAGCTTTTTGAGTAGAAGCACAAAATTTCTTGACACACAAAAGGGAGATGGGTACAATACACTTGCATTGTTTGGATTAAAAGTTCATATAAGTACAAGCCCATTACTCTGAAATCTTCATTATGGGAAGTGTGAAATCAGCACAAAGCACCTAAGCATTCTATGCAGCCTCGCAGCAGAAGAGGAAGGCTAACGCTCACCTAACGCTCTGAAGTGCTTTGCAGAGGCTCTCTAGGATACCTGCGCTCCGACTGCGGCGATGTCCTGAGCAGCCTGGAATGGGTTTGAAACTACAGAAAGTCCCATAATACTGGAACACCAAATGAAAGAAAACGGTGTTTCTGTGCACTCAGCCTCCTTTGTAAGAATCTGTGACCACTGCTACCAACTCAGATGGTAAAGCCCATGGTTTTCACCTTTAATTCAGCTTCTTTAAATTGCCAACATTGCAAAAGAAAGGAGAAACAGCTCTGGGTACCCTGCACAGCAGAACTGCAAGGAAATACAGATCTTCTCGTGTAGCTTATGAGTTTAGTGTGGAAAGAACTTAAGCGCTTATCCAATCTGTGCAGGAGGAACAGTGCTCTCCTGAACCAGTACCAATTTCTGTGAGCTTTGCAGCAAACTCCCCACACCGCTCATGTTCCAGCTTTGTCTGAATTTCCCTTTTTGTTAGCTGGCTTTTTTAGCTGGCTACCTATACTCTCTTCTGAAAAGAAACGTAACTGCAAGCATATTCAGTAACAGATTCAAACACTCATTCCATTCTCTATCTACTTACATTTTATTACAGACTAATATGAAACCATCTCATATTCATACTAGAATTATTTTAATTACTTGTGAGCAAACTTAAACCAGTCTTGAATGTTTATATTTATTGCAAGCAGATTCATGTCTCCTGCTTATATATTCTACATAAGGATCCAAAATGTGACTGAATATAAACAAGTTATATTTGGTTATCTACAGAAATAAAAGTTAAAAATAGCACTGAAAAGAAACTTTACAGTAAAGTATTCACACACTGACTCTTCAAATCAAAGAAATGAAGTGGTATAGGATAATCTAAATATTAGAATTGAAGGCTGATTTATTTTTAAATAAATGCACCTATAATTGTACAGTTAAAAATAAGTGTCAGTATTTGGTGCTGATGACTACAGACATCGTTAATGTTTAATGCACAGATAACTACCCCCCCACCCCCCATACAGCAACTTTCGCAGATTCTACTTTACATTAGATCATGAAAGGACATTTAAAATGCAATGCGTACATAGCACAGAATTTATGTCAGACACAGCGCAGATTAAAATTCTGTGAATTTTCATAAGGTAAAAAATTAAAGCTCTATAAACTGATTTTTAGATTGTTCTGCAAAGTAGAATCACAGACTTTTTCACTTTCGTAATACTTTCACAAATTTCCATTAAAGCTTTTGTAACAGAGACAGTAGCATGAGCACAATGATCCCACTGGCTTCCAAAAGAAAAGTAGTGCAGTTGCTCAATTAAGCTATTTTTTCCTTTTATATTTGCAAGCCAGTTGGGTCAAGACAAACAGGCTAATGCAAGCAAGAAAGTAAACTGTAAGCTTTTACATTAAGTGGCTGAACAAACACTTATTGTACATGGTAAAGCAAAAAGGATCTTTTGCCAAAAGCCACTGCAGGAATATATGAACTTTAGTGGCTGAAAAGCTTGAAATACTTTCTAAGTCTTCACATACATTTGGTTAGCGCTTACCAGTTTCAAGACATTTATAGGAGCAGTTATGGAGACACTATGCTGTTAAAGCTGCAACAATTTAAACAAGGCAAGTTAGGAAGTTATATAGGTTTTTATACTTTTCCCCTTTAATTCTTTTTTTTTAATACATAAAAAGCTGTCTCCTTTCAGTGTCCCATCCATAATAAAACATTCTAATGCATTTTGCTCTAACTTCTACTTTTTCATCTTTGTATTGTCTGATCCATTTACAACGAAACTCCAAGTTAAGACCTGCTGCAGTGGACTAGGTTTGCATGGCAACAGTGACAGGGACTGAAGCAAAAGCACATCAAGTGAAACCAAGCTGATGTCTTATAGTTTTTTCCATTAAATGGTCTATTTTAACAAAGCAGAAAAACTTTTAAATGTAAAAGTATTGCTAAATCAAAGCAGAAACTTCCACTTAAATTCAAGCATTCCTTCTCCTCCAAAAAATGGCATGTTGAACTAAAATTTCCCAAGCACATATATAGGTGTTCCAGCCTGGATAACTTTGTCAGTAATTTCTCAGTGCGGGGCTACATGAAGTTTGCAATGAACTGCTTTGTTAGTAGGCAGAACAGGAATGCAGCATTTTCAAAAACATTAAGCAAAAATCTCCTTATTTAAGGCTAAAAGATGGAACTCAGAAAAGTAAAAAAGCAGGAGGCTTTATAGAGTAAAAAAGCTAGCAGTAATAGTACAGCACTGGAAGTACAGCGCTCTAATGGCTGCTATCACAAACACCAACAAAACATCGATAGTTTGGATGAGACTGACAGAGCAAGAGACCTATATTTCTAATTTGACATTCATTAGAATTTTAACATTCAGCCACAACTCCACTCTAAGCTAAATTTAAATGGCCAAAACTCATAGGTATAAAAAAAGCCTTCAAAACATATACTTAAAAAAAATAGAAATGGTGTGTTAACAAATGTATGCGTAAAACAGATTTATAAATAGCTACAGTATGAAAAATATTTCAGTGCAAAGGCAATTTTAAGATTTCTAAAAAATACATTACAAATAATTTGTTAACTACACACAAGAAATTTGTCACTGCTACTGGTATAAAATTTATACCCATATTAACTTTTTAAAAATATATACACCAGTGTTTTATGTAGGGGACGGTTCTAACTGACCAACATTCAAGTCTGCAATGGCAAGTATATGTACACACACCCACACACGTATGCATGTATTTGAAAATGGTAGTGCTATGAGGACATTCTTTGAAACTTAAAAGTGCTACATGTTAAATGGTAAAAATACCTTCACCTGTGGTGCTCACTGTTAGACTTCTTAAAATTCTCTTATCTTTGGTATACTGAAAATTTCACAACCCACTTTACAATCTCTGCTCATCCCAGGGCATTTTAAGAATATTTCACTGTTTGTTTAATGCAAAAATCACTCGGAATATTGTGAGGACACTTCCTAGGAAGTTGATTTTTCTTTTCTTAAGAAGTAAATTAGTAAGTAAACCATTTTGCCTCTGTTTTTTTGTTGGTTGTTTTTTTTTAAACACAAAAAGGGAAATAATTTTTCTCTGCCACCCTACTCCATTCGAAAGACAATTAACAATATCTTGGCCAGGTCTTCCAATAAAGGCTGCAGCTCTGATTCCAAATATTTTGTTTTAACATTGAAGTAAATTTTTAGCTAATGTCCTCCCAGAGGTATTTAATGACTATGGTTATTAACCAGTTCTAACCACCAGGCCGAACCTGACTGAAATCAGATTCCTCCTTCAGATATTTTTGCACCCCAAAATAAAACACTGGACTAAAGAAACAAGACAAGGACACAGCTAATAGTTGAATTAGTGCAAGGTACCATAAACGTAGCAGAGAAAACAGAAGTGCAAGTTGGCTGTCGTTCTTCAAGTCACTCAGACAGAATCCTCGCAGTCAAACTAGTTTATCATGACTACGGTTCAACTGTTGGTGAGCAGCCGTGTGCCACCTCGTGGTTTGCTTGCAAAAGTTAACGGTTGTGTGCTTTGTAATACATCTACCAAGCCGATGAGCCAGTATTTAGCCATACACACAAAAAAATAGCAAAATTAAGAGGATGAATCCAGATAGTAAAAGACGCTTCTTTGGAAAAACAGCCTTTCTTCTTCTAAGGAAAAAAATGTGTCAAAAAAAACCCTTAATATATAATACTTTCTGCTATGCCTATTTTACGATCACAGGGATAGGAAGTGGGAAGACCAGGTACTCTGCATCTTTGACAAATTCACAGAAACCTTTTAGGCAAAAAGCTTACATTCAGTTTTGGAGCAGATATCAACCTTGACGACATTTACCTGTTTAACAGCCAACTTGACTTCATACAGTGTGCACATACTTCACACAAGGATTGCTTTGCCTATCTTTCTACTGGGGAAACTAACTGAAAACCAGACATAGCCCTGATTTGGCCACTTACAAGGAAGTGAACATTAGAGAGTGTTTCTTGAAAGCAGATTTGCACAGAGGAAACACCAGTTTGTTCTACAGAAAGAGCAAAGAAAGAGAAAGGACAGAGGAAAATCAGAAACAGCACTTGTTAAATACACTTTAGGAGACTTTCATTGGAGAGAACTGAGGTCATTGCTTCTGGCTGAAAATTAAAACTGTCGATCCTCAAAATGTAGGTCACTGACTGAAACTATGCACTTCAAGTAACAAAGAAAATGACTAAAGATGACAGAAGCAGTAAATGCACAAAAGTCTTGACACAGGATGAAGAGAATTTTTAGTGCTACCAGTCTCACAGTACCAGACTGTGCAGATTGTTCATTGCTCCAGTAGTTCAAAACATAAAAAGAGGCCTACTGGCCTGGAAGGGTTCATACTTCTAGCTCTTGATCCTGTTTGTCTGAACACTACCTCAGACAGCAAAAGCCACATATAGTTTAATATATTTCTGTGACATGTTTGTTTCCTGAAAAAAAGAAATAAACAAAACCACAGTTTTTAAAGGCTTGACTTGGTGTTCTGTCATACAGACGTTTCCAAACCTGACCCACTGTAGCGGTAGCCTGCACTGGAACGGCAATGCTTATTGGAATAGCCAAAGACAGATGGAAGTACTGAATAATCAACGCCTCTCCAGTGCGTAAACATCATTTTTTTAGAATGAGAATTAGACCTTCTTGCTGGGGAATTGCTGCAGTCACTGCTCCTGTATCTTGGGCTTTTCAGACAGGCAAGAGGTGTGAATTCCGAGATGTGCTCCCGACAGTGCCTCGATGCATTCTGTTAAAAAGGAAAAAACCCAAATACATAGTAAATAGATGATTTTGGAGCTAAAAGTCTACAGTTGTGTCCCTTCATAGGGCCATTGGCATAATAATGCCTTTCACTAGATCACCACTCTGGCTATTTGTTTCATGTGAAGGTATAACCCCTCATGTTGAGCAATCTCAACCACTTTCAACATGATTAGTTTTATACTAAAACCTACAGAACCAGGCGTAATTTTACACATAATCTCTAAACCTGATAATGGGGCTCTTCAGAGAACAGATGAAGACAGAGAGTCTGCTTTCAAGTTGAATTGTTTTAAATTGAGTTTATTTCATTTTGCAATCTCTCTTGGTACATCTTTTTATCTCTGAACTTCTTTAGTCAGGACTTCTTATGGGGAATTTTAAGACAGAACAGATTCAAGGTCTTTGCCCTCTACTTCCAAAGAGAGGGAATTCTTTACAGTCGTTTGTGCTAATAGATGAAAGTTCCAGAGCTTTAATGCACTTGCTTTGTACTTGTACTAAGCCGTATCTGATTTTGGACTTAAGCTTAGGTTACACGTTGCATCTATACAGGCAATTTATACTACACATCACAATACTACCTTGCTCTAATTGTCCATTAAAATTTATCTGTACCACTTAATTGCTCCACACTCTGGCAGAATCGACACTTCCACTCGGGAAATACTCAGGCCTACAGTAACACCACGGCTGCCTGACAAGACCCTGGAACACGTGCACAAACTACAAGAAAATTAGCACAGCAGTTTCCCCAATGAGTTTATCTAGTTCTTCTCACTAAATGCACATATAATTTCCAGGTTTAGAGGTTATGTGACGGTATTCAAGATATAAATGCATTATAAGCATGATTCAAATCAACGTTATCAAACACTCTCTCCAAGAACGGTATATAAGCCAGGTAATTCTCTGTTCTTAATCATCCCCTTCCTCCTTCCCTGTTAACAGCAACCCAGTAGTAAAGGGGACAAAAGCACAAAATAAATATTAATGAGGTAGCGTACAGAAGTTTGGTTGAGATTTAATAATACACTTTTAATGCCAATCACAAGCTTGAAACACTACTTTTGCATAACCGAGAGCAATCAGAAAGCTCTCTTACAACAGTTACTCTTGGAAAAGTCAGCAACCTATACCAAACTGCTCACTAACAGTGAGGTCTGGGTTCTTTTAAACACACATATAGACCAAATACCTACATTAATGCAGAAAAATGTAGATAATCAGGTAACAGATTAGCAGACTTTGTTTTGGAAATGTTGGAGGGAGTAGTCATGCACTGTATGGTAGCTATTTTTCCTATTATTCCAGCTAGAAAGTGAAGTATTTTAGTTACCATATGTATTTCTAAAAATAAAATCATGTGTTTTCCACACATCGCTCCAAGGAAAGCGCTTTCAATCTGCCATGCCTGAGGCTACTCAATAAAGCTGGGGTTTTCTACTACTACTTGTCTAGCAGTCATTAAAAGCAAATCAAGGCACCCCCCAACTGCCTTGAAGCCCTACAGCCCACACCAGCACATTACATCGCATTTGTCCTCTTCACACATCGGTACTTTGCACCTTAATTCTTCATGTGCTGCTTTTGGGGTCAGGAGAGCACAAAGGGACTGGAGCAGATACAGCATCCAGGTGGGAACGTGACCGAGTAAAAAGCGTACCTTCGTACCTACACTTGTTCGTGTAATCAGTGGTGTGGCAAGGAGATGACGTACAGCAGAGAACGTCATTCTGCTGCCCTAACATTTGGAGGATTTGGGAGCTCGCCCCTCCTGCTGCTGGCTCAGGTACTTGGCAAGGCTACCGCGCTCCTCTCCTGATCCGGGGCAGCGATGCCGCATACAGAACGTCTTACTAGGGCAGATGGTGTCGGACGTACAGCCCCAGTCTCCTGACCCGAGGTCCTATTCACAAGTAACTCGCTTGCTTTTCCGCGGTTATCTGCCTGTTGTACTGTCTGCATTTGGTCTATATATGTATTCAAGAGCACGAGAGGTGATGGATAAACTGCTTGTGAGAATTACTTCTGACTCCTTGTATTTTACACTGTGGTGTAGTGGAAGTACACTCTGCAATAACAACTGCCGTTCTTAACAGGAGCAACGTCACACAACACTACACATAACACAATGTGTTTACAGGACTTTAATATGGGTATATTGATTCAGTGTTTTGCTTTACATGAGTAAGTGTCTGAGACAAAAAGTTCTTACCTGTGGCATGGAACATCTCTTGCAAAAACTAGGCTTTCCAAGTAAAACATAATGATTTTGTATCAATATTGATAAAGTACATCAAAAACTCTGGAGGAAACAGTTGATTTGTGAATAGCACAGTTCACCAATAGAAATTAATCCAAACTGGTGACACGTACAGTACTGTTACCTAGCTTTGATCTAATTATGGCTCGGAAGCTGAAAGGTTTCCTTCAAGAAGTGGCCCATCGCTGTTCGCCAGTGCATTTAGGGCTGTTTTATGTCTCATACTCTTCTGCAAGGATGAGGAAAAACAGTGAGACTCTTGCTGAATACAAGAGGGAAACGTGAATGAATTGTACCATTTGGTACAAATGTAACTATTGTAGCAAAGTCCTGTAAAAGTGAGGGATTTCTGATAGATTTAAAAAGGAAAAGTTATCCAGTGTAAAACAAGGTTTCTATTTCTTGATCCTGAGGTTAATCCTTTGAGCCACTCTGAGGATGTTTTAAATTCCATTTCAAACTCTGTTAAAAATACCTGATGACTCTCAAAAGCACTTAACTGTACATGACCAAGTACCATGGGCTCTGCATCCTGCCCCTCTGACAATAACCTGGACCGAATGGAAGAGGTCCCCGTGATAAGAGGCCAAATCGACTCCAGATTAAGGAGCGGACGCCCCGCTTCGCTACTCCCCAGAAGAGCTGGTACGCTGAAGGGAGTGCTACACACGGAGGTGACGGGGCCAGTGCTAACGAAGGCTGACTTACAGCTTAGTCATTACACCGCAGGGAGAGAGGGCAGGGGAGTCACCGAGGTAACTTCTTCCACGGGATTCAAATAGTGCGACAGCAAGATCCATTTCTTTGTTTTCCAAGAAGGGGAGCTCAACACACGAAAAATGCAACAGCTTGCTGGTGACCAGCTTTCTAAGAGCCCCGCGCGGTTGTTGCAGAGCAGCTAAGCCCATTGAGGAAGGGAAGAATGATGAATCCCCAGAGAGGCTTCCCCAGGCAAAAGTACCACTTCGGGTTCCCCCAAGCGCAGCAAAGGGTAGAGATCTCGTAACAAAGCTGATGGGCTGATCTTGTGACTGAAGTGAAAGCGAAGTACAAAATCATCAAGGCAGAAGCGAAGAAAAAATGAAAAATATTTCTTAAAAAGGGATGAAAGCACAGAAGTTATTTACAGCTCAGAATCTAAACACCTGGTATTTCAGCTACAAAATATTTGGGATTGCTGAAACACTGTCAATCACGGTGACAATTATAAAAATGAAAAGAGGACAATTTAAAGTAAATTTGTATTTTCCCTAACAGAGCTGCTGAGCTTCTGCTATTAATGAAAGAATAAAGGAAAAGGAAACATAATTAATGTAGATTGGATATATTAAAAAAAAAATAAATACATACCCTCTTGCTTTTTAAAAGTAAAGGCTCTTGAAAGAAACCTCACAGCTGCACAATTTCAAGTTAAATCACAAAATTCAGCTTCTTTCATTGAGCCAAAGAGTCACTGGGACTGCATGTATGACAGACATGAGCAGATTTTGACCAAAATTACCAAAAGACAACAGATTCCTCCAAAGCTTTTGCAGAATTAAGTGGTTTAGCCCAAGAAAGACAACAGTTCATATGTGTGTGTATATATAAATATACATGCACATATACATACACTTGTATGTACATATATGTATTTGTATATACACATATATACATATGTGTGTGTACAGATTTTTCTCTCTCACAGAAAAGCTCTCCCAAAACAGAACTAGATCTTGAATGTTTACAAACCTCTGAATGATAATGATGGTAAGCAATCATCCACCACACACTGGAGTGACTTTCAAATAATTGAAAAACTCAGAAGCGTAAGAATTGCTTCAAAGGCTTTATATGATCTTAATTGCCTGAGGAGAACTAATTTAGTAACCTGGGAGGTGGCTGCTGGTCCTAGGTTAATCTTGTCAACTGTCCCAGAAGCCCTTCCTTACAAAGAAGCAATATAGCTTATAGGAATGCAGTAAGTTTAAAAATAATTGGTTACAAGCTCAGTTCAAGCCAATCCCTAAAGCACTTAAAAGCCAATTTTAGCCAGAATTTTCAATAGTGAAAAAAAACTTTGTGTAGTTTCCCTGTGACTTACATAATTACAGTCATTTTTATTGACTATACATTTTTGAAGGGGGAAAGAATGAGGAAATATATTTTTTATCTTCACCGGTTAAGAAATCAAGATCTAAAATCTGCAATGGAAACAACAGTCTCCTAGTATTAAGTCAAAAATAGTTTTCTTGCAGACTCTAGGGAAGCCAAGATTTACTAGCATTTTTTCTACTTTTGTATTATATTAAATGTCATAAACTTCTGGATCTTGAGCTGTTTTCTTTCTAGGAAGAGCACAGAATTTCATGAAATGGAATATAAAGAAAGCTCAGCTTCAAAATGCATGCTGGAAATAACTTATTAATAAAAAAGTTGTATTTTCTTCTATCACAACAGAGCAGATATATTAATATATTCCAAAGATCACTTAAATGGCTTCCAGTACCACATTTCCTATATGATGCTAGTAACATCAGCATAATCAGAATTATCACTTCTTTGTGTGGCAACTATTCCCATTTACTCGGGTACAATGCAAACATGACATGCATTCACCTACAGATAGGCCAATGATTAAAACGGGGACCTAAGAATCCTAGATTCTTGAGGCAGAAACATTATGTAAAATTCAGCAACAACAGTGACAAAAATGGTAGTGACAGACTGTGACAACGATTCATAGAATCTTTGAGATAAGCAAACAGAAGAAGGAAAAAACTATACTAAAAAGTATTCTTCTTCAAAATATAGTTGATGTGAATCAGAAATGGAGATAATGAGTACGGTAAATAACTTCTGATGATAAACTTTTTACTGTCCTTTGAATGAAATGGCCAAGCATGCAGAAAGGCAGAAAAAAGTCACCTTTTGTTCCATTAGAAACTTAGACTGCTTGAAGTCTGAGAAAGCATAAAGATGGTGGACTGCTCAACAGAAAGGCACTGATGTTTAGTCTGATTTCCCCAGAAGATTGTAGGAAGCAACCGTGCACATCATTTATGTTTAAAGCAAGGTAGCAGTTATTTAGACAAAGCGGATTGGAAGACAGGAAGAAACAAAGAGAGGGAAGAAGAAACACAAGGCATATATCTGGTTAAAAGTCAAAGATTTTCTACTAAATATTAAAAAATGAATATTGCCAGTGCTAAGCCCAAAGTCTGCTTTACAACTGATTCATTTTCCAGCACTAATATACAATGTCTGTAAGAAATGCTGTAATACCTTTGTTCGGGGCTTTTGTTTGCTAGCTTGTTGCTTTGCATTAACCCCTCCTCATTCTCTCTCTTTAGACTTTTAAATTAAGCATGCACAACCTATACTGAGATCAACTTCTTCCACAAGTAGCATATATGGCAAAGAGGCATCTATTAAAGATATCGAAATAGAAAAACCTAAATGCAGAACTGCCTGGGAATGCTTTTCTACTAATCTTTATTCTTTCCTCTCCTCCTGAGGTGGGGCATCTTAACAACCGTACATTAAAGGAATACAGAACAATGGCAAGGGGGTTACTTTGCAGGTATCAGAGAAGAATTTTTTACCTTTGCCAAAGGGGAAATTTTACTTTCCTTGGAAGCAAAGTTCCTTCGTTCCTTTCCTCTTAATGCAAAGTATCTTCTCGAATAAACATCAAAATGCTAACTAATCCCTACACACACAGTTGCTGGTAACTCATTATTTTAACCTACCAGTGGCAGTTGATGGGCTGAAAAGGACACGGGCAGTAACATTAAGTTTTACGTTCAACACCTCTACTGTCCTTCACTTTCTAATGTATATAATATATGAAAGTTTGTTGGGGTGAAAAATACAGGTAACATTTTCTATTGAGGTTGCTTTGATGGCCCCAGAACAGTACCACGCTTCCCGCAGAACCTGGCTTCCCTTTCAGCCTCAGCAGAGCAGACCTATATTTACACAGTAGTTTCTCCTTTGGGGCTTATTAGAAGAAAGGAAACAACAGATCTTAAAATACTCTTCCCATTGGCACAGCACGACACATTTACGTAGAAATAACGTGTCAGAACAGGCAAAATGTAAGTTGAAATATAAAAGAGGAAAAAATGATGAATAGAATATGAGTAAGTTTTAATACATATGTTTTTGTAACGGGCACAGCATCAGTATAAAATAGTTTCCTAAGAAAGTATTATACTGCACAGATCATGCAATATGAATGTTGGCATGAGTTTACTACGTATTCCTCACCAACATCCTATATATTAATTGCATTTATTTTAAGTGTATAAATTCTAGATTTGTTCAATAATAAACACACATGCAGTTGTCGAGTCCCTCGGTATAGGATTGCAAATGCTTGTGCAAATCCCTACTTTAAGGGGGATTTCAGTAAAACCACATGCTCCCTTCCTACCAGTTTTATTTTGAGCTTAGGTTATTTTAGCTGGTTTTCCATTTTAGAGAACTACGCTCAGCTTGCATGGTAAATGCTAAAACGACCACATGAGAGTTTCATTTATGCAGTAAAACGACTCGGTATGAAAGACAATGACTTCAATTCAGGGGTGCGGGCAGCGCCTCTGAATACTCTACAACAGCAGGAACAACTGCTGTCCAGGCTGATGTAAGTGCCTCCTATCTGGCCTCATGGAGATCCCGATCCCCTTGCCCTTCTTATCTCCTCAAATCGGGAATCCTGTTGAGCCATGTACCTGTCTCCCACCGTCCTCATCAGCCGATTTCCCTGTGGTTGCTGGTAGAGGCACAGGGGTTGCCCCAGGATTCAGGTAAATACCACCACGTAAACAGCTGGCAGCGTCTCTCACCATACCCCACTCAGAAGTGGCTGGTATACAACCGGTGACACACACCACAGATGGGGAACCTCTATTCTAATCTGGTCTCTAACCTTGAAAGAGGTCTCATTATTAGAGACTTGTGATACAAAAAACTAACTTCACAATGAAAAATATTTTTACCTGGATTCTTTCTGTTGCTGTAGGCCACAACTGTCTGCATAAGACCTTCTTGAGAACATCTGGAAGAAGGCTGACAGTTATGAGCAGAATTATACCCAGCCATGCAGGACCACTAGACAGCATTTGCATGAACACATAATACATCCTCTGATAATTGAGAAAAGGCCTAGTAGGAAAAAGATTAAAGAGATTATTACACTTCAATACACAAGAGAAAGAGTGGCAATGTTAAATATAAAAATTATGACAGTGATGAAATACTTCAGGTTCAACTTCCCAGTTTGTGGGAGTTCATCCACCCCAGTTTTCTCAAGAAGAGATCTAAACGTGCGCTGACTAGAGATAACTGCCTTCCTCGTGCCTTCCAGGCTGCAGGAAATATCATGCTGTCCTCCCTCTCACACTGCCTCTCCCTTGCAAAGATAACTAAGTTACATTCTTATCCTGTTAACGCTTTTTCATCTACTCCTTATCCTGCCCCAGATACTTCCCACCTTTCTTCTCAGCAACCCACCCATCACCTCCCTCCTCTTCCCCAATACACACTCGTTTGTAATGTATCCTCAGAGCAAGGCTCGCTGACCACAGCTTTTTTCTGTATGTCTCAAGCTCCCCTAAGCATCTCTGATGGTTTCATGCTGTGCTCCCTAACCTACTCACCACATTTTTATCTGCCCCCACTTTCACCACCTTCGCTTCTGTGTTTCCCTGTATCTCCATGGCAGTTGTGTGGTCATTAAAATGCTGTCACTGTACAGTTACGGGCACCAGAGTCCATGTTTACTGAGAGCAAAGATCAATGGACAGTTTGTAGCAACACTGCAGCGTAAAGCCCTCCTACCAGTAGGGCAGTCTCCTGCTAGTTTCCAAAATTTGACAGAAGTCTTACATTCTATAAAGGTAATCAAATTAAAATACATGGCTGCATGTAAATAGTCACATCTCTAATACACAGCAAGGCTGACTAGAAAACATCAGGGAAAGTGTCACTTCTGCAAACTGTTTTCATTCTGATGCTGAAGAAACCGAGATCTGATCTTACTGGGGGAAAAAAAAAAACCCAGGAGGCTACTGCATATCCAAGGAGTTGACAGGCAGTTACTCATTTGCAAAGGGCACACTGAAATACAAATCCTTACTCCAAATTAAATAGCACCTTAATCATGATGCAACAATTGGTCTCTGCTTTCTTTCTGGTGCCTCAAAACGTTTACTTATGCATACAAAGTAGAACAGCTCCCGCAGAAGAGGTTAGAAAAGACAACCTTGTAACTGGGTGCTCTACAGGTGAGAAACACAAACTCAAGCTCCTGATGGCAATCACGCATAGTAAGAACTTGGAAGTTCTTTCAACTTGATCTCTGACCCCAAAATTTCAGTTTCAAGTACACAGAATTTTTTAATAGAAAAAAAGCCACCAAAACAAACCACTGTCAATCAGCTATGTACTAAGAGTTATACTAATTCTTAAAAAGCTTCTTACCAACAGTAGAACAAGTAGGTGCTCAGGCATCTACAGTACATCTACTTTGCTAAAGAAGCGGGCAAATATTGAGCTCAAACAGAGGACTCCTGGCCATCCACACAACTTCCACGTGAGTTCTACTCCCTGGCTCTAGTTCAGACCACTACAGCCAGTTCCCTCCAAGACCAGCCCAGCAGGCAGGGGCTAGCCCTGAGCTGCGGAGTCGTGACCTACTCTGGGATGTTTTGCCTCAGATCAGCAGCCCCAGCTCCTTGAACCAACCCTTGGACTGCTTCTGACTGACACAGCTGAGATAGCCCCAGTGGCAGTCTGAGATCTGATATTCTTCTCTAAGAATATTTTAGCAGACATTCAGTGAAAGAAAAGCTGAGCATCCTCTAATTAGCATTACTGATGCCTTTAAAATGTGATTGCTATTGGGAGTTCTGCAATATATAAAAGCTAAATTTCATTCTGTTTGGGACAAAAAGGTGAAATATGTAACAACTTTATGTTCCTGAAACAACATTTGCAATGCAATTTATATTAGGGTTCATACCAAATAATTCCTCCCCAGAGCAGAGAAAAGATAATGTAGAATACCAGTGACCCCCAGATCATGAAGTGATTTATCCACGTCCAATAGTGTGTATCTAGTGCAAGCTGAAAAAAAACAAACAACATTATATAGTCTTATTAATATGTAGAGGCAACACAATACTCAGCAGGAGATGAAATAAAATGACACTGTTTGAAAAAAGGGAACGATTCTACCCAGAACTAGCTAAAAAACCTTTTTCAATTTTGAGCACAGTTAAGAAGGCAGAGATAGCAAAATCTGTATTTAATTTAAACTAATACAATGACATATGGTCATAGAGAGAAATGAATGTAAGTAACCAGCAATTTGAAAACAGGCTCTAAGGAAGTTTCAATGGATAAAATACAGCATACCTTACCTTCAATGTAACTGTGAATACAAGCACAGTGAACACCAGTGTTCCAAAGGTCCAGTTTCCAAACATCTATAAAAAATGGTCCAAAGCACTTATAGGTAATATTGTCCACAACTTTGTGAATTGTCCAGAATAAACCTCTTAAAGCTATGTACTGCTTTGTATCAGGAACAGACACTTAAAGCAAAAACACTGAATTCTTACATGATCTACCCAGTGCAAACTGTTTTGGTCTCTTGCCCTCATGTGTACACACCTCAGACTTCATACAGACAGGAAAAAAACACAATCGATGCACTCAACCTGAAGTTAGTTCACAGGTATGTTTCTTAATAAAAATCAAGTGTAGCACAGTTAACAAATCACTGAGATTTACAAATGAACTGCAGTAATTTCATCAATCTTCTTGGACACCGTCTTTTCTCTGATCTCCCTTCTCTGCTGTCCTTGGCATCCCACAATCTCTTGGAGATTCAACAGCATGTTATACAGATGAGTAACAGTGTAAGAAAGTATGTGATAACCATAAAAGCCATTAAATACGTAAATGTTCAACACACATTTTAAGATAAAACACTTTTGAATTGTTGATTTTTTCCCCCCACCTGCGTAATGAAACAAAAACACTTCAGCTTTTCAAGTGGGCAGAAACAATCATTAATGCTGATGGAGGGAAGAACTGGTGGTGAATACGGTCACGGAGGATTGCCTGGACTGCAGCAGCTATGAGATGACCAAGTTCAGGATCCAAAGAAATGTTGGCAGAGTAAGCAACAGAGTTAGGACACTGTATTTTAAGAGAAGAGACTTTGGTTGACTCAGGGTATTGCACCCATGAAAAAGAAGGGTGCCCAAGAGAGCTGAATGATTTTGAAAGAGACAACTGCTGAGATCTCACGAACTCTCCTGCAGGAGGACATGGAATTTCAGCAGAAGACCCAGTTGGCCAAGCAGGACGTTTCTGAACGAACAAAAAGGCAAAATGGGAGCTTACAAGAGATGACAATATGGGCAGGCAGCAAACAGGTAGCATAAAAGCATTACTTGGGTACAGAAGAACAAAACCACAAATGAAGCCCGGCTCAAACTAAGATTAGTGAGAGGTGTTGAGGGTGACAAAAAGGATATTGACAGATATTTTCCCTTTGAAACAAGAATACAAGTCCACTGACGGAGTGGTAAGACAAACTAGTGGAAGGTGTTAAAGAAAATGCTTAAGTATTCATACCCTGGACATTAGTCTTCACGAGCAAAACCTGCTCCTTGCATTTACCAGCAAAGCTCAGGAACAAAAGGAGCAGCCAACAGTGTGGGAGCAATGGGGTAAGGAGGGAGAGCCATGGATGCAATCTATTTTGAATTTAGCAAGGCATTTGACACTTGTCTCAGACAGCATTCTCATTTGGAAGGTAAGGAAGCAGGGGCAGGGTAAACAGACTACTACTTGAGTTGAAAACTGTCTGAACCACTGGACTCAGCAGTTTGTTGATCAACGTCCTTGATATTTGGTTGGCTGCTGGTAACCAGCGAACCACACTAGGGACTGATACTGGGGCTGATACTGTTGAGTATCTCTGTCAGTAGCCTGGATGGTGACAGAGAGCATCACGAGCAAATTGCCAGGTGATACAAAAATAGAGAACAGCTGACATAATGAATGGCAGAGTTTCAATCCAGAGGGACCTCCGCTGATTTGAGAAGTGGGCTAACAGATATCTCATGAAATTAAATAAGGAAAAGTGCAAAGTTTTCCACCTATGGAGGAGTAATGCCATGTATTGGAACTGACTGGCTGAGCAATGCCCCTGCTGGAAAGGAAGTTGCAGTGGACTCCAGATTGAATATCAGCCTATACTGCGCTCTCTCTATACATCAGGGAAATGGCAAACTGAGCTGTATTGGGAGAACGTGGCCACTGAAGAAAGGTTATTAATCCCATCTACTTGGCTATGGTGAGCTTGAACCTGGAACACTGTGCCCAGTTTTGGGCCCCTCAGTTCAGGAAGGACGTGAAAAAAAATTGGAAAGGATTGGCAGGCAACCAAGGTGGTTAGCAGTCTGTAGCTCTCCTGTGAAAAGAGGTTAATGGACTTAATTAATCTGGTGAAGGGGAGGTTAAGGAACAACCTAGTAACTGCCCACAAAGATTTGGAGAACAACTACAAAGATGAAGAAATGGAATAGACCTCTCTTCAGCAACAAGAAAAATTGTGCTTAGGTATTAGGAGAAATTTTTTCACTGCAAAGGCAGAAAAACATTGAAACAGGTTGCCCAGGAATCTCCATCGTCAGGGATACGCAAAACCTGAAAAAGGCTAGACAAAGCCTTGAGCAACTTGACTTTAATTAGCCCTGCACAAAGCAGGGAGTTGAACTGGATCACCTCCAGGGTCACTTCCCATCTACATTATTCTATATAAGCTCGCCCAGTATTAGATGACGGGGATCCATGTGGGCAAGTGATTGCACAAACGTGCTGCTGTGGGAAAAACTCTGAATGGAGACCATGGCCAGCCACAAGACAGAAATCTGTAGGAAGCTAGGCTGAGATAATCTGATCAACTGAGAATGGAAAATCATTTAAAAAATGAACAAAAGACTGGCTGAAAGATTCATTATTCTAAGTAACTGTTTCATTATTTTAAAATTACTCAATGTGTGACCAAGCGTACAGAACACGAGACTAAGTGCAGAAAACCTTCGGCATTTTGACCTTTTACTTTGATATGTAATATAATTTTATAGGGTCATGCCATCACTACAACATTTTGTGTGCCCTAAGAAAAATCAGTGCAGTTAAAACTGGAAAGGAATCTGGTTCAGGAACTTCAAATTATGCCATTTATCTACTTTCTTCTTACAGTTAAATTTTACAATACTCGCGTGTTGTATCTGGCATCTCCCAGAAAGCCTAGTGTCAATCTAAGTTTCTGCATGCTGAACAGATGTGTCTGTATTTCCAATGAAAGCTGCTAGATTAAACAAAAAAAATTGAGACAACTTTCCCCTGTCTCTAGACACGAAAAAGGCTAGATAGAAAGCATGAGGCTGCAACCAAACCCTTCACCTACCTATCTCTTTGGCTCAGAAAAAGGTCATACCACAGGGACACCAGACTCCCCAAGACTGCTAATTTGGCACAGAGAAAGGTAAGCAGAGCAATATGGGATGGTGTGAGTTACAAAAACTCACAATGTATTTTCAGCATTGAGTATCTCAAGATACCACTCATGTCTTCAGGCTGTGAATCATTCTTTTGGAAGTCTGTGTGCTAGCATCTTATTTATTAACAAATATTTTTCTATGCTCTGCTCCCAGCCTATCCAAGACTTCCCCTCCTCCTTTTGTGACCATATTTGTTGATCTTCCACATTCCAATTTATCATTCTACTCACCTCTCTTCCTTCCTGCTGTTTTGTATTTCCTATTCTGTTATTCCTTTTAACTTAAGTTTTCCTACCTATCTCTGAACCCAGCTTAACAACTATATTTAATCTACTCCATAGCAAATGCTAAAATAAAAAAATCACACAGGAAATACATTTTATTATATGGGTAAACTAAGACGACATTTACAATCTGCAGTTACATCTATGGTACCTTCTTTTCTTCTTACCCTCCTTATGTAGTTGGTCTCTAACTATGTTTTTACAACACCAACCATGATGTCATATCCAAAGTGGAACACCATACACAAAGCAATATCACAAGTTAATAACAATTAATAAGAGATAAATCTTTGGCATCTTAGTTTTATTTGCCAGGAAATGACTGAGGCAGGCATTTATGAAGTAAATCTCAGTGATTAAAAGAACACTTTTCTATTATTCTAGTAATATCACTTTACAGCATGCAAACAGTTTTGAACAAATTTCTAAATACTAAGAAACATCCGGGGGGGGGGGGGGGTATTTTTGGGG